ATTGCATTTGACAAATGTAGTACTACAAATATGTGCTCGAGACTCCATACGCTCTCACGGGAACACACAATCTCGCAAAGGCAACAGCAAAAGGAAGCACTGTGATTCTCTTTGTCGCCAGTGCAAGCGATAAGCAGTGGCAATCTTCCGAGAAGACTTTGCAAGCCATACTTGATTCTTTTGAGGTGTAAATATTGCTGCTAGAAATTGAAGTTCGTAGTCACACGCATGTGGGTTTTTTTCCTTTCTTTTACCCCATTTTTCATTTTGTTGAGGTGTAATTGTGTTGATTTATTTTGACAGATGTTTACTATTATCTACATTGTCATTACTGGTGTTTGCAGGTGACTGAGAAAAATGGTGAATGCTACTCTTAGTTTGTGAATTTGTAAGCACTGATTAGTGACATTATTTGGTGACTGACTCTTACTGTGGCAGCAGTAGGTACGTTTCAACTATAGTTACTGGGTTTTTTACTATTTGATCGACACACTCTCATATATGTGTATGTGTGTTGATCAATGATAAAAAAAATTGCACTGCAGTCACCTGCGTGTAGGGTTGTTAATGAACGGAACTTTCGAGAACAAAAGCTCGTTCGAGCTTGTTCGTGTTCGACCAAAGCTCGTTCGTTCGTTAATCGAGCCGAGTTCGAACAGAAAATTAGGCTCGTTGAATAATCAAACGAACACAAGCTCGTTCGCAACGTTCGATAATGTCGTGAACATTACATTTATTTATTTTTATATATCTACATGATATTTTTAATAAAAATAAAAAATATAAAAATATTTCGAACGAGAACAAATTTTGAGTTAATAAAACATACTTCAAAAGTTCATGTCCTAAATTTTTCGAAAGCGAACGAATTCGAACTTTGACGTACAATTAAACGACCAAGATCGATCACGATTTTTTGCTCGAAAAATAAATTAATGAATACGAAATTGTTCGAACATAAACAAACACGAGCTCAAAATGCTCAAACTCGACTCGTTCGTTTCGAGTACAACACTAGTTACCTGTGGGGCCAAACCCTCCATATTAGACATTATTGGTCGTTCACCGTTAATTCCAAAATACCTACTATTTAAGGGTTGAATCCTCCGCAGTAGATCCTCGGCTCAACTCGATAAGACTCGAAAAGATGCATTTTTAAATAATTTTTTTGTAGTTTGACTCGTTAAGCCTCGATTATAAGCTCGTTAACTTAAAGAACTGAACCGAGTTAAGGGCTCGAGCTCAGATGGGCTCGACACATTTACACGAAAGAAGACAGAAACACAAGAACCCTACATCCAGTCCCTCGGCCAATCAAAGGCCATCATTGTGACATTTTATTTTTCAAGTATACTTAGTTTACACGTTCATCACCAATCGTCTGTCGCAAAATATACGACGGTCCACACATTTTTCTCGATAACTCTCAAGTCCCATACGTTTGTTTTAGTCCACGCCGACACAAACTCGAGAAACCATTGGTGTATAACATCAACATATCATTAAAATAGTTTGAGTGTAGTAGCTCTTGTTAGCTATATTGCAACTTAAAAATCTATTTGCAGCCTATAATTTCCAAAGCTTCTTATACCAAATGCGCGTGAAGTTGTGAAATCCGAAACTTTATATGCCCATGACTTTATCAATGGTGATTAGTATTCAAAGTTACTCATTGCATTGAATTTATTATCATCATATCTATGGTTCTTTAACAAATTTGCATCTCAGTTTTGTTAGAAAAATGGCATTGTAATAAAGTTAACTTTTTTTTAAAAAAAAAAAAAAAAA